AAAATTTGGTTTTTAGAATTTAAAAATTTAATCCATTTAGTTGATAAAAATGATTTAAGCATGGCATCTGAGCATCTATAAATATGCTAGTTGCTTAATTAAATCAAGACGGCCAATTTACATCATGATTTAATTAGCTTTCCTTATCTAATATTGGTGTAAATTCGGTAGCATTTTGATAGCTTATTTTTAAAAATTCGTTCTTTATTTTTGATAACACATGTAGTAGATAAATACATTCTTTGAGTATTAAGCAATCCAGGTGAATCAAGTGTTTCTGTAGATCTGTACCAATACCTCCCCATCCCCCACTTTCCAAGAAGTAAACATCATCAGCTTGATGTGTTTTCTTCTAGGTGTATGTGTACGCGCGTGCGCGCGCGCTCAAACACACACACACACACACACACACACACACACACACACACACACACACACTGATTTATATATATTTATATATACTACAGGTACATATAATTATATATATATAATTATTTTTTAAAACATATGTATTTTTAAAAAATATGTATTTTTAAAAACAGTATTACCACACTGTTCATGTGGCCCTACAGTTTTTTGGTTTTGTTTTTTTATATTTAATGTCTTGGAGGCTTTCCAAGTTAGTACAGCTAGATCAGTAGTTTTCAGCCCTGAATTCCTATTAGTACTGTCTGGGAGCTTTTAAAAATTACCAGTGCCTTTCCACCACCTGGACGAATTAAGTCAGACTCTCTGGCTCTAATTTTTTAAAAGCTCCAGGTGATTCTGAAGTGTGGTTGGCTCTGAAACCTACTCATTTAGAACCACCTTTTTTTTTTAACTTGCTCTTAGTATTTCTTGTTAAGACTTTGCCATCATTTAACATAACAGATCCATGCTGGGTCACCATGCTGTACATGTGTACATGTGTATGTGTGACTGTTTCTCTGGGGTGGTTACCTACAAGGGGAGTGCTGGGTTGAAAGAGAGAGACATATTTAAAATTCTAACTGCTAGGTGGTTCGCCCAAAAGCTACTCCAGTTTTGCTTCCCCCAGGAGATTATGAGATTTCCTGGTTTCCACTCCATTGGCAATACTCTGATAGTATCTATCTCTTAAATTTTTGTTAATCTGATAGTGAAATGCTATCACATTTAACTTACATATCCTCATTTTCTAGTGAAGTTGAGTAGCTTTGCATATGTTCATTGGTCATTTACACTTATCCACCTTTCTGTTATTTTGTTTGCTTCTTTCTTATTTGTAAGAGTTATTGATAAACTCTGGATTTTTATCCTGTGTCACATATGTGGAAAATATTTTCTCCCTGTCTTTTGTATGTACCAAGATTTTAAATTTTGATACAATTGGATTAGTCAATACTTTTTTTTTTTTTACTTGTTTATATCTTATTTAGGAAGCTCTTTCTAATCCCAAGATTAAAAAAACAGTTTTATAAAAATTGTAGCTTTTTAAAATGTTTAAACATTTGAAAATACAGTTTTTTCATTAGTGAGGGATTTATCATTGTGGTTGGTGTCAGACACAGATTGGACTTGTTTCTTGGTTGTTAACCGCCACTCAGCTTCAGCCAGCACACCTCCTCCTCCCCCTCCTCCCCTCTCTGGTCAGCAGTGACTGAGAGTGCGCGTCATGCCAGGCAGTGCTAAATGTATTCATGAATTACGTCATTTAAACACGTATCTCTGTTTTTAAAGATGAGGAAACTGAAGCACAGAGCAGTTAGTAACTTGCCCAAGGTTACACAGTCAGTAAGCAGTAGGACCACCACTTACTTGTTTGTCAGTTTGTCCTTTTTTTNCTAAGACCATCGGAAAACAAAAAGATATTTACATTACGATTCATAACAGTAGCAAAATTACAGTTATAGAGTAGCAACGAAAATCATTTTATGTTTGGGGCTCACCACAACATGAGGAACTATATTAAGGGGTCACGGCATTAGGAAAGTTGAGAACCGCTGCATAGACCTTATTGAAATGCTACTGATTATCCCACTGATGTCCTTTTTCTGGCCCAGGATCCAATCTAGGATCCCACTTTACATTTATTTCCATGTCTTATTAGTCTCCTATAACCTGGGACAGTTCCTCGCTCTTTGTCTTTCATAAACCTGACATTTTTTTAAGAGTACTGGGCAGTAGAGCATTTCTCAGTTTCGGTTTATTTGATGTTTCCTCATGATTAAAATCTGGTTGTGTATTTTGGCAGGAATGCCACAGAAGAATGATACTTAATTACTGTTGCTGCTAACTTTGATCACTTGGTTATGGTGGTGTCTGCCAGGTTTCTTCAATGTAAAGTTACTATTTTCCCTTTTGTAATTAATAAGTAACTTGTGGGGAGAAACTTTGAGACTGTGTAAATATACATTCACTAATGATTCTTTCCTGAAACAATTTTTACTATACTGATTGCCAAATGGTGATTTTCTAGCTCCTTCATTCCTTCTGCATTTATTAGTTGGCATTCTTTTATAAGGAAGGTTTTTCTTCCTCCCTCACTTATTTATTTATATCAGTATGAATTTATGGATTCCTCTTATTCATTGGTCTATAATCCATTACTACCATTATTTATTTTTATGTTCAAAGTATCTCAGATTTGGCCAGTGGGAGCCCTTCAAGCTAACTCCTGTGTCTTTTTGACAAATTCCCATCATTTTGAGCATTTCCTTATGTTCTGACACAAAAAAAGATATTCCAGGCTCATCTTACGCTTTCCCTACCTCAGGCCTGTAATCAGCCTTTTTTTATTTTTTTGGAATGGAGGGTGGTATTTAGCAACTAAGAACAGGACACTGGATGTGCTCATTGTTCCTGGGTCATTGCTTCCAAACCCTCTCAGCAAAAGGAGCTAGGAAACATGTACGTACACACACGTTCACATACATATTCACACACCCCTAATATATCTGTGTATATATTGTTATTAAAGGCCCTGAATTCATGCTAATACCTCCAATTCCAGTGCAATATCACAAGTTCATTCTAACCATCATTCTTTCTATATTTGCAACTTCCTTCTCTGACAGTTGCAAATATGAAAAGGCTCTCATTATCCTCAGTTTATTTACTTCTTTGCTCATTCCTCTGTTTGAAACCAGCACAGCCAGCCACCTCTTGGCTCTGGTGGGCAGGCTCCACAGGCCTCGCAGACCCCTGCCACCGCGTTGGCCTGCCACCTCCTCAGTCTCAGCTCCAGGGGCCCCAACTTGCTTTTGAAATTTCATCTTTGGTGAATTCCTTACTCTAGTTACTTAGACTACTTATTGTTTGTAAAGGGAAGATGGGGGAAGAGGAAGAGTTCAAGCAAAGGAATGATTATAGCTCTAGAGCTTTGGCTATTTTAATGCAATTTGCAATTTACTCTAGGCATTTTAACAATTTTTTATTTGGGCCAAAGCAGAGTGAATTGTTCAAAATAGGGATTTGTCTGAAAGCTGATTCTCTTATTGCAGATTGCAACCCATCAGTATAGCAGTTTGAGCTTTCACTTGTTCTTTCTTTTTGAAGTTAATGATGTGGTTCCCATGGATACCCACTTTTATTAAGTTTAACAAGAGAGAATGGCCCTGAAAATAATTGGAACTCTTAACAAATGTCTTTAAATTTCACTTATCTTTGGCAAAGTGAAGTTGGTGGTACTACACAAGTTCTTGAATTATACATTAAATTAGGTTAGATTATCTATCTATTTGTTCAAGAAATCTGAATGATAGGTTATAGTAGTCACCTCATCCCTGCTCCGCTTGTCCATGTTCAAGGCCAGACACCTTTCCCACAATCACAGGCAGACATGCTGTCAGAGTGTTTGTTTTGGGCTCTGCCCCGCCACTTCTCCCTGATCACCAAGCCCTCAATCAATCTTGTTTTTCTTATCCCTTAATAAGAGTGTGTGACAGTGCTTGGCACAGAGCCAGGAACACGGTCTGTGGAGGACGTTGGTCCTCTTCCCAGGCTACCCAGAGCGGCAGGGAGCAGCAGTGAGATGCCACACTCGGGAGCACCTAGCCCGGTGCCCAGTACTGGGTGGGAGTCCAAGAAGGCGCCTCCTTCCCCTCTTTTCTCTCCTCTTTTGATATGTTAATTAGTGTTTAGAAAAATGCATTTTCTATGATTCTGTTACTCAACATTTTATAGAATATTAATAAGCTGAAAGGAGGCCTAAACTGAAATACTTTTATTAAAATATGAATTTTAATTTAACTTGGGACTTTTTAAGGGAGTAGAAAGATACTTTTTAGCTTCTTCTTTTAACATTAAAATCCCTCAGCTATTAAATCCTAGATGAAAATGTATTTTTGTGTAAGATAGGGTGTTTGGAAACAAAAAAGATTTTCAAGCAGATTCCAGCTTTTATAGGATTTCTTTGTTGAGATTTAGTTGAGGGTTTACTGTTATGTTCTGAGTATTGACACAAGGTTTGAGACATGCCATTCTTCTCATTCCTAAAATTCTGATTCTAGGGACATTTTCACTTGAGGTGCTTAAAGATAGAACAGAATTCTAAAGGTATGTGCGAATGCTTTGAGATAAAGAAAATGCTTCCTTAGTCTTTTTGGAGTCACTGAATTTTTGCCAATTATCGTACTGACAGATATCTTCAATTATTATTTGTGCTGTGTAGCACATCGTTTTGAAATAAATCCTCCTCTAGCACAGAGAATATTTTTAGGTGGAGAGAATCAGCACCTTGCTTCTGATTTATGTTGATTCTTTTATAGCCTTAACGTTAGAAGCTGGAAAGCCTCTGAGTGCTCGGCCCGAAACCTGGGCACTCATAAACAACACTGATTCAAGTAGACTTCTCTGCTCATTCACCTTCCCTGCCCTCCTTGGTCTTCTCTTTAGTGCTGGACTATGCTTTTGGGCTCCTCTTTCATTTATTAATGCAGCCTCTTCAAAATTTAGGGGGTAAGGTTTCACTTTTATTAAAGAAATATGTATTCCTCTCTTCTGCTGTGCCTTCCTCTTGAGATTTATTATTAACCTTTCAGGAGCCAGAAGACGAAGTGTTTCTTGCCATCGCAAAGGCCATGGAAGAAATGGTGGAAGATAGTGTCGACTGTTACTGGATCATCCGATGCTTTGTGAACCAGTTAAACCACAAGTACCGAGATTCTCTACCCCAGCTGGTGAGGGATGCTTTTCTGATTGTTGGCAGGGGGTGAGGGTGAGCAATGGTACTGGGCCCTTCAGAAAACACTCCTACCTCCTGGTGCTGCTACAATTAAGAGTAGACCCCCTATAGGAGGAGTTAGCTGATGTTTTCTGTGAAAAGCCAGATAGTAAACATTTCCAGCCTGGCTGGCCAGATGAGCGCTATGCCTCCATGTCTCTATTGCAGTCACTCAGCTCTGCTGTGGTTGCACAAAATCAGCCATCGACAGTACATGAAGGAATGGTCGTGGCCGGATTTGGCTGCTGCAGGCCACAGTTTGCACCTCCTGCTCTGTAGTATTTCTTATCCTGGTCTTGAATCCACTGGCTTTACCTAGAATATTCCTTCTGTATTAGCTGAGGTTTAAGTTTGGCTGCATATAATGGAAAGCCCTCTGAACAGAAGCTTTACTGTAGTCTCGCATGTAACCTGAAGTCCAGGGGTGAGGCGGTCCTGAGCTGGTGCCACAGCACCGTGGTATCGGCAGGGACCCAGCCTCTCGTCCCTCCACTCCAGCCTCCTCAAGGTGTGGTCCTGCCTCTGTGCTCACAGATGTATGA